TCTTCATATTTCTCTAACAAACATATCCCTTACGTCCTTTAACACGATTATTATTTATTAAATTAGCTTTGCGAATCATTCGTTGAACTGTGTTCGGACACGGAATTATTTAAATTAAAATATCATTTACGTACTTTGTCAATCTTCACTGTACACTTTGCTTAAAAATTTCATATGTTACACACAAGGTGTCACGCACACTAGAAAATTAAAACGGCCGTCACGCTTAAATTGCTTACTATTTCGGGTCCGAAAAATTAGTAAATATTCTTCAGACGTTCTAAAGTAAAGGTGAGCAGCGTTTTTCTTAAAAATATCACTGTTACGTAGTAAAAAAAAATCCGCAAAGTTCTCGCTTCGTGATTTGTTCAATACTTCGAACGCGGCTCGATTCTGTCCCGACCATCTGTGAAAGCCTCGTGCTGCGGGCTCTCGATCTTCGCGCCGTCACCTCTCATTGGTCAGCGTTTTCCGTTAATAACTCGTGAACAAAGCCGCAGATCGCATTTTCGCAAAGGAAAAAGTTACTTCAAATTACCTCAGCTACCCCTCATTTTCGGCTGTTAAAATAATCGTGGAACACCCTGTATAATATATTTCATCTATTATTATAATCTATTAAAGTCTATAATATATCATAATGGGCATAATGGACATATGGCAAATATACGTCGGTAGCAGTAAAAAGGTTAAAAATGAAACGGAAAAAAGGAAGGGAAGATCAGCAGAACGTACGATCTCGTATGAAAACCGCAAGCGTTTTCAAGTTACATGAACCGGGCGTCTCGTGTTATGGCTCGCATAGCGGGATTTGTCTTCTCGCGGCGCGGCGGGTTCCGGCGAACGGGAACGACCCGCCCATTTAATCCGTGTCACGAGATTATTATATTTTACAGTGGCCGACCAGACATCGAGCGGATGATGCATGACCGGGAGTTGGTTAACGCATCCTCGGCCCGCTCCCCTCCGGCCGTGTAAATGGGACGGAGCGGTTCCGAGGGCGGTGCCACCCCCACACGAGTGGAAATCTGTTGATGACGCTTGACACGTTGAAAAACCGTGGATGACACGGCTCCCACTGCATGTTCGACACGGAATACCGTATACACGCGCGATAGAAAAAAAAAGGAAGAAAAAAACGCGTCGGCGTGTTTAAGCCATTACGGTCGCGTGTTGACATTATATTCCGCTGTTGCGAGTCAGATTCGACAGTGCATCCGCGAACACGACGACGTATTTCCTGTTTGCATTTTAAAAACATATTGCGCCGGCGTTTCCTCCACCCGCTGCGGCCCGAGTCGTTACGAGGCGCGTTACATCGGCAAAACACGCATAAATTTCGGCTGGTAGGCGAGGTCGAAATTTCGGGCGTGGATTAGATCAAGTGTCGTTCGCGAGATAGAAGGCATTCCGAGCCACGATCGCAGATTAAACTCCGGCGGAAATTAATAAACGGGATTAATCGTCCGTGCATTTTATTTACGCGGCGGCTCTCGCGAAAAAACGTCCGGGTAATTGAAACTCTTTATCAGCGGATTAAATTCGCCTTTTTACGGAGAACGGCGCGGCGTCAGATGTAATTTCGTAGGAGGTACCTGGGGGGGCCATGTTTCGTTCGCAAGAGGCGGAAAGAATGCAAATGCGCGGGGGACTTGGTGATTCCGAGGGCAAAGGTCATTCCATGGTAATACGTTTCTGGCGTTCGTCTGATTCAATCGTTCTTTTTATTCGGTCGCGACCCTCTTCTCACGGGTTTTTCATTTAGCACCGTCTTCGCCTCGTACTTTTAATGAATTATCGAAGCGGCCGCTCGGCGCTGTTCACATCTATGCTGATAATTGCGTAATGCGTATTCATGTAAGTATTTATACAAACTTCCATTATCTCGCCGCGTTTCCAATGCCGCGCGGCGAAATTGATTTCTATTTACGAATTCAATGGGAATGAAAATTAATTATATCGACTGAACCGGTACTATTTTGAACTCCATTTCGAAAATTCATTTGAGGATTACTCCGCATCGAAATTTCTAAACGTGTCTGCTCCATTTTTGAACGTTATGAATGCATAACTACTGAACGCGGTAACTACTTGTTATTCTCTAGGCGTTATAATTTACTTTCGTAATTATCTTACTGTTTCTCTTTTCAATTTGAATTGATAAAAAGAGATTAAAATTGTTGCCATACCGACCACAGACAATTTCGAGAACGAAGTGTGTGCTACAATTATGATTCTATTTCCGATACTCAATCTGTCCGGAAAGGAACGATTGTTTCTCGATTTTTTTTTTAGATTTTCACGCATTTCATCCGAATAAAGATGGCCGCCCGATAGACGCGTGTCACGAATGAGGTAAATAGGGGTTGTCGTGTCCCGAAAATGCGCCGCTAAATTTCGATTTTGATCACTGACCCGCACGGTCGTGCGAAAAAAATCGACATTCGCGGAAATAACCGAATTTTCAGTTTCGATTATCGACAACGTGTCCCGGACAAGCTTTCCCGTAACACGTGATAAATATGAACACGGATTAAACGAGGCGAGCACGCGATGCTTGCCCGGGGAAATGATTTACATTAACGTTTAATGCGTTCAACTTCACCGTCCGCGCACGTCAGCATGAAATATCCGATGGCTGCCGTAAACTCTATAACTGATCGAAGAATTATTTTATAAAGCTCCGCGCGTTATTAATTATCGTCATTTGTGTGTCGCGCGGCCGTCATTCTGTTTGCCTGACGGAGCGTCGAGATCCTCTCCTTATCTAATTGAAAGGCTTTCATTCATTGTTTCGTGAACGATTAACTCGTATCACTCGACTTCAAATATATTACCCATAAGTTTTTTATATCCATCGATTCAATTACATTGTACTCTTCCATCGTGTTAAACTTCTTGTCTCCATTTCACTTCCTGTCATATTACACTTATGCGAACGCGACGCATCTTTCCGCGTATTTTCCTCGAAAACGTAGCCTGAAATGCAAAAATGTCATCCTTTTCTTTCGACTTGCTTTTGCTTGCAGAACGTCTCTTCTTTCGGTCGCGACACCAGTTACTGACCACCCTGAATACATCCCTGCTTCCCTAGTCCGGCCATTCACCGACCTACACTACTTGTTTGGACACAGATTCCCCGCGTCACTCGTCTGATCAATAATTGATCCCCGCTGCTCGCGGAGTTCTAGATATTCTGAAATGTTGACAGGCTTTCTAACTTCGCACTTTTGGACACAACGCGTTATACAGAAAAATCTGTCGCTTATTGTAAGTCATGAGCAGTCCAGAAAAATCTCCTTCGTTGATTCAATATTTCTAGGCACGACGTATATACAGAAAAGTCTGCCATTGCAGACTTTTCTATTGCAAATTGTAAGCATATGCAAAACAACGTCGATCTAAATAAACCACGGGTCATTAAGTGATCATTAAGTTCCTCATCATTCCTAATTGAAACCTCCGCGAAAGCTTCTCTTCCATTTTATGTTCGGCGCGCGCACGCCCGAAGGAAATCTAGGAGGAGCAGAATTTCCATTTCCGGTGATAACGCCCGGGAATGGAAATGTACGCGGGACATTATGGCCGACGACAAACATTTTTTTTTCTCTTCCGTTATTTGCAGGCAGTTACTCGGGAATGGGACCCTCTACTTCCCGCCGTTCCTCTCGCAGGATTTTCGCGCGGAGGTGCACAACGCAAGGTACAGATGCCGGGCGACCAGCTCCGTGGGGACAGTGCTGTCTCGGGAGGTTACCCTTCGTGCCGGTGAGTTGACAAGAAATCACTAAAATTTTCATTAACATCCTGTCGATGGAGGTACAAAATAATGGTACTTAGTTTGACGCGGGACGGCGCGCCATCCGTAACGAAAAAGGGCGATCAGTTTGACGTCGGATGGTGTCATCTGTAGATAAAACGAACATTTATTTCCTCTAGTAATTTTAAGAAACTGAAAGCTGTATAACAAGCTTCTTTAACCCTTAGCACTCCGAAACATTTTGCGATGTGCCTATCAATATGATAAAATATGATGATATAAAGAAAGGTTAATAATATAATGATAATAATAAAATTATATGACATATATATATTTACTAAAAGTTGAACAGAAATAAAAATCATGATACCGCTGTGAAATTTTATAGGAATTAATAAATAAAAGATATCGCGTTTTTATTTATGTATTTTACATGGTATGAATGATTTAGCATCGTGTGTGCGTAAACATAAATGTCGCGAACTCGAGTGCCGGACTAACGACTGAACAATGTTTGATAGATTTCGCGGCGAGTCGTCGAGGACACGAACGAAAGCGAAACGCGGCCGTTAGTGAGGCGAAAATAGTGCAAAATATTGCGTGGGTCTCGTTGCTCGGTCGTCACGTATTCCCTGTGCACGCGGACACAAGTCTCATTATCGTATCCCGCCGCGGCACTCATTAATTACTATGCTTTTTTCTTCGTGCCCGACAGTGAGATGGAAATATACGCGCGACACGCCACGCCAACGATATACGGTATCGCGAAAGTAATTACGTTTTTAGTGCCGAATGAAAAGGACGCGTCTGGCAGCGGTCATTATAACGGATTGTCTGTTTCTTGTCTTTTAATTAAACTGTGCTCCATATGCAGTCGCGATCGTTGTCGATGCGAAACGATTGCAAATTCTCGTATCATTCGTTTGTAATCTTTTCGTCAGAAATGTCGACGTCAAGATTGCACATTTCACTCAGGTAATTGCAGACATATAATTTGATCGCGTGCACAACAGGAAACCAAGGTAATATATTGTTCATTTCTCTTCTTGTTAAAGTTTTGGATTCAGAGTCTCGAGAGAAGTATAATTGGCCAAATAATCCAAGGAGGTAATATAAAACTCCTCGGCAAAAGTATTCGAACGCTTTTTAAAGCGCGATAACCTTTTCAAAACTGAACCAAATGACTCGAGTTCTTTTTAAAGGTTTCAGGAACTAGGTTACACCGTACAATGAATAAAATACTTTCTTTTTAAAATTTTTAACACTTTTTATTTCAATCTGGAACGAAAATTCGAGAAATCCGTTTCGCGGTTCTCGCGACGTATACGGAATATTCACGGCTGGCCGTTCGAAACCGACGAAACTGCGTTTCTCGCGTTATTAAAAATTGGTGAAGCTCCTCTTCCACCGGCCTCTCGATTAAATGTTTGGCCCCGGCGGTAGACAATGGGGGAACGTGCTAGGACGACCATTAGGTCGCAAGTGGCCGGCTTCGCGGCTTTCGTCGGCTATTCCCGGCTCGTTTCCGGAAGTGTTATCCGAGAGGCGTGATCGGTAAACACGGCACCTACTTACCAGACCGCATTGTCGCTAAACAAGCCGCAGGCGAGGCTGCCGTTACGGTTTTTGCGTGGATCTGCGGATCAATGTTGCAAGCTACGAAGCGGCGCTGTTACCTTAAGCACTTCCGCCCGGGGGAGAACTGGAATCGCGGATATTGTATTGGCTGCTTTTCCAGGCCGAGCTAACTTCTCCTCGGCTGATTATAAGAGAAAGCTGCTTAGCATAATCACCTGAATATTTAAGCAGTCTCGAGGCGAAGCTGCTTCTTCGGCCGCGCTGTAAATAAACCGCGAGTGCTCGGGAATCGAAGAAATTCCCTGGAAATCGGTCGATTTTTCTCGAGATCGATGGATTTTCCTCGAACTTGCTAGATTGTTCTGGGAATCGGTAGATCTTCCTCGAATTTAGTTGATTACTCTCGAAATCTCTAGATTCTTCTTCTCGAAATCGGTGGATCGATCTCGAAATCGTTGGATCTTACCCGACAGCAGAGAAGAGAAGGTGAGAATCGTGTCGATTTTTCTCGAGATCGATGGATTTTCCTCGAACTTGCTAGATTGTTCTGGGAATCGGTAGATCTTCCTCGAATTTAGTTGATTCTTCTCGAAATCTCTAGATTCTTCTTCTCGAAATCGGTGGATCGATCTCGAAATCGTTGGATCTTACCCGACAGCAGAGAAGAGAAGGTGAGAATCGTGTCGATTTTTCTCGAGATCGATGGATTTTCCTCGAACTTGCTAGATTGTTTTGGGAATCGGCAGATTTTCCTCGAATTTAGTTGATTCCTCTCGAAATCTCTAGATTCTTCTTCTCGAAATCGGTGGATCCATCTCGAAATCGTTGGATCTTGCCCGACAGCGGAGAAGAGAAGGTGAGAATCGTGTCGATTTTTCTCGAGATCGATGGATTTTCCTCGAACTTGCTAGATTGTTCTGGGAATCGGTAGATCTTCCTCGAATTTTCGAATTTAGTTGATTCCTCTCGAAATCTCTAGATTCTTCTCAAAATCGGTGGTTCGATCTCGAAATCGTTGGATCTTGCCCGACAGCGGAGAAGAGAAGGTGAGAATCGTGTCCACGCGAGAGAAGTTTCCTTTAGCTCGGCAAACGGTGTGGGAAATTACCGGACACAATCGTGTGGGATTCTTCGCCGGCCAAACACAGGCTCCCGGTGCTCGTCCGATCAAACACAGAACTTATCCACGTCCTAACGGCATAGTTCTCGTGAACCAGTTGCCCGATTACAGGGCAACAGCGTCGCTTGTGCGGGTGCTCGTCCGTGAACCGCTCGTTCGATTGTAACGTCTTAGGTACACCGTCGTCTTACACCCCTGATCCGATCGAGTACCGATCTTCGTTACTTTCGCTCGATACGCTGTTGCTTTCCCACGATCTTCTATTCCGCCTCCAATCGACTGAGATCTCCCTCGTACAAGATCCGTTGGAATTGCGTCTGTTGGTCCTTTCCTGTCACGTTCGTCATCATTACATATTCAATGGTCGATGCCGGGGCAAGAGGAACGCGTGAATCTATTTATCCTGCAATTCGATTGGATCCGTGGGCGAGATTAAGAATGCTACACGAGAAGCGTTAAATACGGTCGTATGGTTCCGTAGTGTATTAGACGATGTATCCGATTAAGCACCGATCCGCGACGCTTCTATGATATAGCATTGGTTTGTACCACTTGCCCGATCAATTATCGATCTGCTCTACTTCCTTGATTGGGCACTGATCCGTGCTACTTGTCCGACTAGGCAGTAAGTCTCCGATTAGTTATTGATCTCTTCTACTTGTTCGGTTAGAGCTGTACTACTTGACCGTCGGTCTGTACTACTTTTGTCCAATAAAGCGTCGAATGGAACAGCTTGCAGACTGTCGTTCCATGCTGCCTCTTTTCGCTGCCAGTTCATATTAGCACTTGCTTTCTGTTTCTACTTTCTGCCCAATGAATCGTTGATCCGCAGTACTGAATTCTTTCTAGGAAATACATACTTTTATTTTCCATTTCTATGTCGTAACAAGTCGGACCTGCAGTTGAATTATAACGTTAAGAATTAGTGATATTTGTTTTGTTTGAAGTAACAGTCAATAATAGACATCTGAAGATGTTTCTGAAGTCCGAAATCAGTTACAGTCAACTATCTAGTACTTGTAATTGACAAAATTAATTCAATTAAATTCGAATTTGTGTAATTAACACTAGATTCATATCTTGATTTTCAAAGAGCTTTTTATTATATTGGGTAGTTCGGAAAGTTGTTTAGTTTTTCATAATAATTTCATTTTGTAAGGGTGTTAAAAGAACACTTGATTCAGTATTTTTCCAAATGTAAAACAATAAGATTTCAAAGCTACCAGAAAAATGTCGAAAAGTTTGCTTTTACTCGTAACATTTAAAAAATCGTCTTTCATTTTCTCGCGAAAAAACGAAGCAACTTTCCGAACGACCCTAATATTTGCCGCAAGTAACTTGTAAATGTATCTTTACACAATCTGAACAACTGTAAATTAACAAATTAATGACCCCTCGTTTCAACGGGTTCCGTAAACATAGTGATAACGAATAAAAAATTCGTTCAGATCTGAATAATTGTAAGTTAACAAATTAATGACCGCTCGTTTCAACGGGTTCCGTAAATTTAATGTTAACGAATAAAAAATTCGTTTAAATCATTAATCAACGAACGATCCTTAACTTCGTCTGGCAAAACACCGACTACTACCACTTCCACTCCATCTAACACGCACATAGGACGAACCTGCGATCCAAGCCACATCGAGTGGACTTTTTCTCTCCTTGGCATTGTCAAGTCGCAATTCCAGCATCTTTCTGTCGATAAACGTTGCTCGACGTAGTTTCGACGTTCTCGTCGGCGTCTTCTCGCCCTTTCCCGTCACGTTCGTACTCTTCCCGTCCACGTAATCGATCCGGCGAAGACGGGAGCCCGAAAATTTATTTATCCATCGATACGGTTAGGCAGGCGGTCCTCGGGGGAGAGGAGGGTTTCTTGCGTACAATAAATGTCAATTACAGACACGGAACGTCGGCCGACGAACGTGACTGGCCGCGCCGTCTAAAAGTTCTCCCGAAGATCCCATTATGCCGGAAGCGTTGTAACGGACTGCGTTCCCACCGAGACATCTCCAGGTAAATACCGAAGGGAAAACGCTCGGTGAAAGCCGTTAAATTGTATCGGAGGAAGTTCGATTCGTGCTCGATGTCAGCCAGAAGTGCGAGCGACAAGAGAGAGTGAGAGAGAGAGAGAGAAAGAGAACGAGAGAGAGAGAGTGGAGAAACGAGACTCGTCCGTAGGAGCGAAATGTTGCTGCAACGGGACAAAACTTTGTCCGGCATGGGGTTTACGTGAGCCACCATTTAAATGGCTGATTTTAAGCCGACCGACGCCACCGGTGCATACAAAGCTACTCCCGCGGATGGCAC